AACAATAAACTAATGCATGGATTCTAATGGGTGGACCTGGCAAATTATAACCCAACCCATTGACCCGACTCGAAACCACCCGAAAACTAGAATTTTTTGTAAGCCGAAATCCGAATGACCCGAACCCGATAACCCGTGATTTTTTGGTTCGGGTTGGGTGGGTTAGCTGGTCGACCCGTTAGACCCGTTCCATTTACTATATTACCCTCAAAATATGATAAAATCACATAAATTGGTGAGATGTTTAAAAAAAATCACAAGGATTTGAATGACATGTTTGGAGTTTAAGGGTAATCAAATATCAAGTGTTTCTTGTATTAGTATTACTCTTGTGATTGTTTTTTGACGATTTGTGCAATTTATATTTCATTTCATTACCGTTGGAGGATTTGAGAATATGTTAATTAACATGTGTTAGGTAAACTATTGTCATGCATATGTAAAAATTTGTGTTCTTTAAGAAAATATGAAGCATGTTTGATATTGTTTCTAAGAACGCTCATAACCCGAAATGACCCGTAACCAAACCCGAAACCGAATGGGTTGGGTCAATATTTGACCCGAAATAAGCCAACCAAACATGACCCAACCCGTAACCGAAGTTTGCAACCCGAAATTACCCCACCCGACCCGATTGCCAGGTCTACTAATGGGCTAACCGCTAATCATAAAATAAAAGAGTTGAATGGGCATGACCTACACGGGATTTGCCCATCAAGTAAACAAATGAACATCATGGGTTTGACATTCTAAAACAAGCTATTTTCTCTTGCATAATATATATTATGATATTATTTTATATCTAAGTGGTTAAAATATAATGTATTTTAAAGTTATTCAATGGTCAACCTCGACCAATCCAATAAGTCCAATTTTTATCATTTCAAATATATATTATGTAATTATTTGATATCATATGATTAAATTATAGTGTATATTATAGGGAATCATTTGGTATTTGTTAGTAAAAAACTAAACAGAAAGATCTATTTGGTTATTTTTAACATTAACACGATCCTAAATATTTTCATTTTCCTTTCGAAATTCTATAGTTTTATTCCCGAATGAGTGATGTGAAAATGGCGAATTGCAGTTATCTCTTTTCTTTCATTATTTTTTATTTTCAAATAGAAAGTTTAAAAGTAAAGAATAATTAGAGTTTGGCATGAGTCGGTCAAACAGGCTGAATTTCAAGTTTTGGCCCGTTTTGATCAAGTCTAATTTATAATCACATGATTCCCTGATACCCGATAAAAATCTCAATCCAAACCAGTTTGGTAGGTGAGTCTGTGTTTACCACCATTTTCTAGGGATACAGGAACGATGGTTCCTATCACAAATCGTGTTGTTCATGCTTGATTTCTTTAGATTTTATCATGGCTTGGCAAAAAATCAGAAAGCACAATGATGACAAGATGAAAGTTTTATAAAGCAAATTAATCGGCCAATGGGCCGAGTAAAAGCTAACAACGATTGTGAGATGCTCATTTCTCGAAAATCGCGGGATAGGCAATTTTTTATTCGATTTTCTGGAATTCGGTTTATATAAAATTTACTCCACCTCATCATATTACCAGAAACAATATTGTTTTACAAGGTAACATGTATTTGATTTTGGTTCATAAGGCTGATTTTTTATTCGTTGCATCATTCATATATCTTTCCTACTAAAATTTACTATTTTTATAACGTGTTTCCAAAAAAAACTATACTACAATAAGTTATACATCCCATTACATTATCAAATTTCATACCTCAATTTCCTCCGGCCAAATGGCGGAAGAATGACACGAATATTATTTTTTTAAAAAAATTTACCACCAATATGACGGATTAAAAAGTATTGACAAGTATATTGTGTTTTGGAGAAAAAGTTAGGCGAGACCACCTGAGACTGAGGTGCCACCACCTGAGTCTCAGGTTAATAGATGGGAAGAAAGTCCCAGGTGTTGGCACCTGAGACTGAGGTGTTACCACCTGAGACTGAGGCGTGACCACCTGAGACTGAGGTGGCACCGCGCAGAACAATCCTAATTCTAACCCTAAACTCTGAACCATGAACCCTAAACCCTAAACCCTGAACCCAAAACCAACGAATTTCGTATCAGTTATTCACACCACAAATGGCTAATAGGTAAGAGACATATTTATTTTTTAATTATATTATTCAAATGTTATTATGATTGTGTTTAGTTTAATTAGTGAGTTTTTCTGTAGTGATTTTAGAAGATTTGAACTAGTCGTTCGGTGGAAATCGGAGAAAGTAGAGGATAATTTGGGCGTCAAATTCGTTGGTGGTGGTAGTTTTCAGTTGACGGTTTTTCAAATGTAATAGTTGTGGTTTGAAGTAGTTGTTGTTTTTCAAATAGTTGTTATGGTTTAAGAAAGTTGTTGTAGTTATTGTTCTTGGCCAAATTATAAAATGTCCGAGTTGTTGTTTGTTATTTGTTGTTCCGAATAGTTATCGCTAATAACATCATACATGAATGTAAAAATAGTTCAAAGAATAGTCCACATAAATAGTCCACATAATAGTCCACATAACACATAAATAGTCCACATACATATCCCAAATAATAATAACATAACAAAAATACAAAAAAAAAAAAAAAACTCTAACGATCATCACCACGACGACCACCACGACGACCACCATGCTGATCCACTAGATGGTCGCCGGTACCACACCTCGCTGGCGCCTGTCTGATGTCCTGGCTGAAACGACGGATTAAACCGGAAGGTCTTAGTAGGCCGAACGGGCTGTGATCGCTGTCGATCTGAAATCCGGAGCGGGTTAGGTACATCACGATGCTCACGTCGCTGTCTACGCTCCTGTCTGAATTTGTTGTTTATTTGTTATGTGGACTATTTATGTGGACTATTCCTTGAACTATTTTTACATTCATGTATGATGTTATTAGCGATAACTATTCGGAACGACAAATAACAAACAACAACTCGGACATTTTATAATTTGGCCAAGAACAACAACTACTACATTTGAAAAACAACAACTACAACAACCTTCTTAAACCATAACAACTATTTGAAAAACAACAACTACTTCAAACCACAACTATTACATTTGAAAAACCGTCAACTGAAAACTACCACCACCAACGAATTTGACGCCCAAATTATCCTCTACTTTCTCCGATTTCCACCGAAAGACTAGTTCTAATCTTCTAAAATCACTACAGAAAAACTCACTAATTAAACTAAACACAATCATAATAACATTTGAATAATATAATTAAAAAATAAATATGTCTCTTACCTATTAGCCATTTGTGGTGTGAATAACTGATACGAAATTCGTTGGTTTTGGGTTCAGTGTTTAGGGTTTAGGGTTCATGGTTTAGGGTTTAGGGTTAGAATTAGGATTGTTCTGCGCGGTGCCACCTCAGTCTCAGGTGGTCACGCCTCAGTCTCAGGTGGTAACACCTCAGTCTCAGGTGCCAACACCTGGGACTTTCTTCCCATCTATTGACCTGAGACTCAGGTGGTGGCACCTCAGTCTCAGGTGGTCTCGCCTAACTTTTTCTCCAAAACACAATATACTTGTCAATACTTTTTAATCCGCCATATTGGTGGTAAATTTTTTTTAAAAAACAATATTCGTGTCATTTTTCCCCAAATGGCTGGGGCCACGCTAGTTTATTTACAAACCCCAATATCCCGTAACTCTACCGAATTCCATTGAACCTTTTTTCCCCAAATCCTTTTGCCTTCTATCCAACCATCCCCCACCATCTCCTTGTTGTCTGTCTCCGTTTTTTTACGCCGGTGCTCCACAGCCGCCTTCGCTTTCCGTCATTGTTTTTGTCGTCCTTTCTCCAATACACAGCGACTCCATTCTCTTTCCTTATGCTTTCCTTTCCTCTCAATTATAGATTGAAGTATTCTCTCTAATGCCTTGTATTTCTCCTTCACCCATAAATTCGAACCCTCTCACTATCTAAAAAATACGGAAGTCCAGCAGTGTGTGTTTTTCAATCCCTAGAACTGAAAAGGTTTGGGTTCTCCTTTTGACTTCTTCTCTCCAACCATCTTTGTTGTCTTCTCTACTCCCTCCCTCTTTTGTGATTGATTTACTGCAATGGTTGCATGCAGATAGATCATTTCACTGTTTCATGCACAAAGTTACAGAGATTGATTATTAAAACCTGAAGGAACGAAATCGTTAGGTGTGCTTCTACTATACCAATACTAAGGTATTATTCCCTTAATGAGTTTGACCTGGAGTTAGTGTGTGTAATTATGCTTTGTGTTGCATACAATTATACTTCGGATCCTTGATAAAGTTCAATCGATAGTTCTTTGCTAATTAGATGAACTTGGATTGAATTCGTGAAGGAACAAACAACATAAGAATTGAAGAATCGGGATGCATTAGAAGAAAGAGAATAGGGGAAGCGAATAACATGCAAAAGGGAGAAACAGGACTCTATCAACATTGCCATCTGGTCGGGTATTGCTGGCGACGATCTTTTGATCGGAGAAGAAGGATAGAGAGAGATGATATGCAGAGGAATATCAGGGACTGGGTTAGGGAAGCGTGTCAAGAACTCTAGAATTCAATTGTAGAGTGCAAAATCTGAATGGCAAAATTGTAAACAGGAGAAAAAGGAAGGTTATTTGGACACGTGTTGATCATTGGTGTCTTCTAGCCGGGAAACTTGTTTGGATTGAGTATTTGACAAACTTGTTGTTTGGGGCGAATTATCACACAAATACCACATAATATAAAATATATTATTTGGTATGTGATATATATTATTTGGTATGTGATATTTGATCTCAAACTTGTTATTTGGCAAATATCCGCTCCCTCCCAAGTATTTGGCAAACAACACTTTTTGTGTTATTTGGTCTCAAACCTGTTATTTGACAAAACACTACATCCAAATAACACATCCCGCCTTTTGTCAGCCAAACATGTTATTTGGGATCAAATAACAGATTTTGTGTTATTTGACCTCAAATAACACCCCAAATACTCAATCCAAACGACCCCATATATATAGAAAAATTAGACATAAAGTCACTATATTTGTCCCTCCCCTCAATTATGCATCAGTTCAGCAGTTCATACGGACCAAATTGATAAAATAGAAATATAAAGCAGTTTCACTTTCACCTCCTCCTTATTAAATGGGAAGAGATCTTCCGGCTTCAGCTGTTCTTGTAACATCTATGCGTGCCATTCAGGCAATTTCACTCCTAGTCATGACGACGACAATGAGATTATGTATGAACATTCACTCAATTGTTCCATAGTGATAAAGTAAATGGAGGAATGGAAAAGGCATAGCTGCTAAAATTCAAATTCTCACTGGGAAAAGGACTAGAAACAATCGATACATCAACACTCATAACCACTGCCCCATTTGACGACCATTTCCATCAATTCTTTCTGCCTTCAGCTAGGATTACGTGATACCCATGTCTGCATCAGCAATGGGCAAACTTGTAAGCCTTAACAATAAACTGATTAGTATTTACTCTTCATATTTTATTCTTCTGAAATAAAGTGCTGTCTAGTCTAATTTATCCCAACCGATTTCCACATATAGATACATACGTTGACTTAAACGGTGCGCTGGTAGCTCCAACAGGGGTGTTGAAAGCGACCTCTTGGAAAGGACCGGCCATCTTGCCACGAGGAAACCATCCAAGGTCTCCACCCTTCTTCCCTGAAGGACATTCTGAATACTCTGCTGCTAACTGGAAAAAAAATTAAAGTTAGATTGTTTCATGCGGACCAGACCTTCAAGGCTATCTCCAGCAATCTTTAAGATTTAACTAGTTGAACTTGGAGAAGCGTCCTACTAGTTTATATTGTCATTGTAACACAACATGTTGAATTCAAATTGCTGAAGAACAGCAAAGGGTGGGAACCTGGATGTATAGGGTTTAGGCCAGCAGCAGACTTTCATTGACCAACCCCAATATCGCCACTATCAAACCCACCAGAAAGCCAGAAAAACAATTTTCCAATTCTTTAAACCAGATTTTCGCCATTAAGATTACGTACCAAGTTCCATGAAGCTGGTGCAAGCTAATCTTTCTCATGCATTTACATCGGCATTTCATGAAGAAGATGATAATAAAAAGTAGACCTCTCCAACAGATAGAACGAGAACCATGTAAGGGAAAAAGAACACTGGACAATGAAACTTGTTTTCTTCAAGGTGAAACTGTGGGGAGCCTAACTTTATATATGCAAATTTACAGACGAGTTGGATATGAAGCATATCAAAGTATTAAAAATAAGTTATCACAAGCCAAAATGCAGACAAGCGTTTCAATTCAAGAATTCAGTTGTCAAATTCAGGAAACACACCTTTGCAAACTCAGCAGGAGGGACTTTGTCTCCATTGCTTAGCCAACCATCTTGTAGCTTCTTGTATGCTTCATTAATCTTACCTTGCTTCTCACATAAGATATGCCTTGCTAAACCACAGAAGAATAGCAAAAGCTAATAAACATTAATAAAAGGAACCTTGCTTCTCACATAACAGATGCCTTGCCACACCACAGATGAATAGCATAAAGCTAATAAGCACAAAAAAAAAAAAAAAAAAAAAGAAGTAAAAGGACATGTGACATTCAATTTTGTGGAAAGCTTTTCAAAAACAGGGTGTATTAAGAAGGTGAATGGCCAGGTGAATGGGCGACCTTCTTCTCCTTGATTACCTGGTATATGTGGAAATACAGATGTGACTACATTTCCAAAGGCAAAAGGTCGTTGGACTCTTCCCTGATCAACTATATTACACTGAAAGCTAAGGAGTGGATTGTAACTTGTGAGGCAGCAGAGATAACAACTGATGCAGGAAAGCAGCTACGTAGACAAGAGCAAATGGTTGGGTGGACTCCTCCACCGACAGGCTGCTGAAATTGAACACAGATGGTGCGGCACAAGGTAGTTCGGGCATTGCTTCGGCTGGAGGTTGTCTTAGAGATCATGATGGAGATTGGTTGGGGGGATTCTGTTGTAAAATCGGCACCGGGTCGGCGATCCTGGCGGAGCTTAGGGCAATCCACCAGGGTCTCACTTTTGCTTTAAATAGAGGAAGTCAGTTCCTCATCGTCGAAACCGACTCAAAACTTGCTATAGATTTTATCAACAACAGGGAAGATAACGTCCATCCACATTCGACCATGCTGAATGCAATCCGGAGATTGATGGCCCAGGATTGGGTAGTTCGGTTAGTTCAGACGTATCGGGAAGGGAATAGAGTCGCGGACTGGCTCTCGAAGCACAGTCTCGTCTATCCCTTTGGTACGCATGAACTAACGGATCTACCCAATGATCTTGAGAGACTTATTAGGGAAGACATTATAGGTGTTTGTTTCCCTCGCATGGTTCAGCAGAGCTCTAGTTAATGATGCTGCAGATGGTGGTTGCCTCTAATTTTTTCAGGTCCATTTTGTAACCTTGCTTTGGTTCTCGGCAGCCTCTTGAGGCTTTCAGAAGTTTTATAATTGGTCCTTTTGGCTTTTATGCATCATATCTAATCAAAAAAATTAAGAAGGGAGAGGAGGAAATGCTTAAATAAATGCAGGATAAAACACCTTTCACATAAGTGCATGTGCCAAGTCCATCAGCCTTTCCACTTTTTCCCTTCCCCTTCGAAGCATTTTCGTCACTCCCGCCAGCTGCCTGCTTTCCTTTGCCTTTACCTCCTGCATCTTTTGCTTTGGAGTCCTTCCCCATTGCCTACACAGACACAAGGAAATGCCAAAAAGTCAATAGACGATAACCTTCTTGGGTTACATCAAAACTACACAAACTTGCCAAACACTAGACTAATGATATCAATGATGATTGACAAGTTTAACCATCGCTTATGCAAACTATTTCACCAACAAAAAATAAAGAAGGAAAGACAACTGCCACTCTATTTATAGGAACGCTATTGAGGAATCCATAGACAAACCATGATGTCCATTATGGTGGCTTAAATTGAACCAGTTATTCTGCTAGTGTTCCACATTTTATTGCTTCATACCTTTTTGAATTAGTCTAGTGTTTGGCACTTATTCTAGCAGGATCCCATAACGTTGTTTTCTAATCCTTGCAGTAGGAGTAGAGCTAAAGAGAACATTGGAGCATACTTCTTTCAAACATGTTGCTCTTAGTCTTTATTGACTTCTTTTTGAGGTGTTTCATATCATATAACCGAGGATTCACCCAACCCTTATACTACCACCAAGCCATATCATTAAACCCTAAATCCCAGCAGTGCACGACCAGAGGTTTCCCCCAATTCCTATGGCTGGAATTGCTAGGTGCATTCTTTAGCCCCATTCCACTAGGAGATTACATTTAAAACGCATCAAACAAAACACAAAGATAATGCTCAAAGAAAAAGGACAAGGTCAATATCAAAATCCAAATTCTGAAAGCCATCCATATCATCTGCTCCTCAAATTGAATTGCATATCTAAGCTGTTAAGATAAAGAGCCGTATCCCGTAAAAAGAATCCGCTAACCCGGAACTAGATTCATCAGCTTATGCAGTAAGACTACATCAAAAACTTGGCAACGATAGCCGCATCCAATTAGCATACTATCGATGCAGAGATAGAGACCAGGAATCCAGAGCATCAATGATCAAGACAGTGAGTGACACAGAAAACATAACATGAACTCGGGAAAAGAGAGATAGTTACAGAAGCCGGCTCATTCTCATATCATATCATTTCCTACCAGAGAATTAGAGGCCCCTTCAAATGACTACCGACGGCAAAACTCAGGCAGGGGGCAGGAGACGAGAGGGAAGCTGGGAACCGCAAACCAAAGTTGCGAGATTCTGGTTCTGGCTTGCTCGCAGTCGCAGATTGAAGAAAGCCGACGGCCTTTCTTGGTTAGCTTAGTTGGATGTGCTGAACCGTGAGTTACTTATTCGTTGTTATTAGGGGTATGCTCAAGTTAGGTGACTCGGATAGTCGGATGTGAACCATTTAAGTTACCAAATCATCGACCGCCTTGTTTGCTTAATAAATAATATTATTATTATTATTATTATTATTATTATTATTATTATTATTAACTAGCACAAGCCCCGCCCTGTTGGCCCCAAGAATTTTCTCGATCATATATATAATAATGGATATAATAGATGATTTGAAATGCACATACCATTCTTGAAATTATTCAACTATACATAATGTGTTTAGTAGGGCTGGCAATTTGGTCCAGGACTGTTTGGTTTTACCCGAAACCGGACCGTATAAACCGGACCGGGACCGGACTGAGACCGGATAGCAAACAATCCAATATCATATTCGGGCTTAGATTTGAGGTAAAAAAACTCGGATAAGAGACCGGATAAGAGACCCCAACACTCAAATCCCCACAAGCTCAATCTAAAATCAAAATCAAATTGGGACCGAACTGGGTCAAGACCGGACCGGATCAAGATCGCAGTGTATCCAATCCAATCTTTGGTCCTTATATTTCCGAAAAGACCGGACTGGGACCGGATCAATTTGGTCCAATTTAACCGGACCGGACCGTATTGCCACCCCTAGTGTTTAGATCTCCATGAAAAGAGGGGAAAAAATATAATATAAGCATTACATATAATTATTGAATAAAAAAAAAATAAAACTAATTATCATTTATTACTTAATTAAAATCATATAGTTGAATATTAGAGTTGCTTCTCATAATACATACATAATCAACCTTTAGGATGAAACAAAATGTCTCTTAGAGTTTAATATGTCATTTAAGTTTTTCCTAATAGAGAGCATTCTTTTTTACCACACTGTTAGTAATGAATCTGAATTTGCTTCATTTGAAATATATAGGACTTGATGCAAAGTTGTCGCTAATAGTTAGTTGGACAATGTGTTGTACGAACTTCCCAAATTATTCTCATATCGCAGACATGTCTAGCAACAATGTAGTAATTTTCACGCATCAAATATTTTTTTCATAAAATAATTCAATAAATAAAAACGTATGAAAATAATATCACATGAAATATATGTTACTCATTAAGTTGGTGAATGAGCGAGGGTATGAGTAGCATATATTTATTTTAAAAAGATAGAAATTGCAAAGTGTACGTCTTTTGGGTTGCATGCAGTGGCAGATCCAGGACATAGTAGAGCCTTGGGCCGCATTTCATTAGAAAACTAGATACTGCAAAAAATTATAATTTTTTTATAATATCAATTGTACACGTCGATCTTTTAATATAGTGAAATCATCAATAAGGGAGTCTATGATGTGAAGTTTTATGGTCTAATCGCCGGTACGTACATACGATCTTTCAATACAAACTTTAAATAAAGGGTCGAGGTCAAATTTTGGGATAATTGGAGGTCAAAAAGCGGAAAAACCGAAGAAAAGTCTGAAGTCGACCGTGACAATTGCCCAGTAACAGTGAAGTGCAGGCGTCCAGGAAAGAGCCGCAGTTCACGGCCAGACGAGGCAATTCACGGTATCCTAAGATCGTGAACTTCGACCACAAACCGTGAACACAGAGGCGTCCAGCGAGGTTCCTGAAGTTACTGACGACAAGGCAGTTAAGATCGTGAACTGTGGCCATTGACCGTGAACCCAGGAAGCAAAGCGGTGCATTTTGGAGACGATAGAGTTCATGGACGCGTTTAGGTGTTCACGGCTGTGAATTGGCTAGCGCGTCCGTGAACTCGTCACTTTCGGACAAATATGAAGACCACAGCAGGGAGAGAGAAAGGGAGAGCTAGCTTTTGGAGAGAAATTCAATTTCCTCTCTATGGTTTGCCCAAAGCACCAAAAGGGGAGTTCTAGTGAGTGAGAGAGAGAGAGAGAGAGAGAGAGAGAGAGAATTTGTGCTAGAGTGATCTTGGAGCATCATTGGAGGCTTGGGTAGACAAGGATTCAAGCCTGGAAGAAGAAGAAGATCTTGAACTCAAATTTGTAATCTCCTTTCTCTCTCTCTCTCTCTCTCTCTCCCTCTCGAAACTCAGTCTTTTCTCTTGGGTGTTGTAGATCCCTAACTAATACTTTGTAATTACTGGTTTAGATTGAATGATTTTGTATGGGTTTCCATCAATTTGAGTGTTAGAGGTGTTTTCATGGTGATTGTGCTTAGTTGTGCTTTCCAAATCTTGTGTGCTTGCCTAACCTAGATTAGAGGAAAACCACACCTTTTTAGGTAGGCTTGACAAGCTTGGTTTTCCTGGACACTTTGTGCCTACTATCTAGGTTAGAGATGAGCATCCTCCTTGACTTAAGTTTGCATCTAGGTTGGTTGTGATTAAGCTGCTCAAACTCCTGTTTAAGGGAGAGACCTAGGCAACCACTAGAGACCGAATGAGAGGATCGATCTCGTGACAAATTTATCTTTAGTGAATCCATCCCCTGACGGATTGATCACTAATTGCTCATCCTAGTGGTTCCCCTAGACTTGGTGAGTGGATCGATCCCGTGACAAATCGATCGCTAGTGAATTGATTACGTGACAAATCGACCACTAGTTGCTCACCCCCGCGGTTCACAACAACCTACGCCACACGACTCCATTCAATCCAACGAGTCATGGTAGCTAATTAGGGGAAAGCAACTCCTGGGTGAAACTCTCTTAGTTAGAATTTTCCTTTATTTACTTTTTTTTGCTTGTTTAATTTGTAGTTCAATTAGTTCTAAACCCAAAAGTTGCTTGCTAGATAACAACCTAAGCGGTTGAAGTAGGGCTACATGGATCGGCCCGGGTTGACAATTTAAATACTTGCTCTATACTGCACCCGGCTAGAGTTTAAAAACTTGGGCTCTACTCGAGATTAATTTGTGGTGTAGTTTCGTGTGAGTCATGCCTTTAGGATGAAACAACTTTTTCTTTTAATTCGTCGGTTTTGTGCGAAAAACTGGAGCTCCTTGTGTTTCTGCTCGTTTGTGGTGTATCTAGAGGGGATTGGGAGACAGCTATTTATAGTAGGCAGACCCCCACGAATATACCCTCTGACTTGGGGATAAATCGCGTTAATTGGGAAGATAATCACCCCGTTAATTAAACGCGTTTGTTAAGATAATTCTTGGCCGAATTATTGTGGTCCGTTAGGTCCTCTCTCTCCTATAAAAGTAGGTCACCTCAAGGGGCATGCCCTTGGGACTAGATAGTATAACAACACCTCTTGTGTTGTTATTGTAACAACACTAGTCTCCAACCAACATGAAGCTAGGTTTGTAATGACTTTTTATTAGATGAGTTGACGTAGTGTAAAATTAAAGCAGGGGTATAATTGTCATTATGAAAAATATGTTTAAATAATAACAAAAAAATAAAAATAAAAAATATTTTTTTATTTTTCGGCCCAAAATTTTTGTCGCCGGAATTCGATCACCGGTCGCCGGAATATGGACGCCGGTCATCGGAATATGCTTTTTTGTCGCCGGAATATGCTATTTTGTCATCGGAATATGCCACCGTCGCCGGAATATGCTCACCGTGGTCGGAATATGCTTACCGGCGTCGGAATCTAGTCATCGGCGCCGGAATATGTCTATCGGCGCCGGAATATGCTCACCGACGGTCATCGCAGTTTGGTCAACGACCAACTGATGATATGGTCTGCATTGTGAGATTTATGGTTTGGTTTCTCATATTTTTGTATGCCTTTTGTGGTTTGCTTTATCGTGTTTGTGGTTTGCATTGAGAAGTTTCTAGTTTGCTTTATCGTGTTTGTGGTTTGCATTGAGAAGTTTATGGTTTGCTTTCAAAAATTTTGTGGTTTGCATTGAGGGGTTTGTGGTTTGTTTTAGGAGATTTGTGGTATGCATTAGGAGGTTTCTAGTTTGTTTTTGTGGTTTGCTTTAACGTGTTTGTTGTTTGCATTATGAGGTTTCTAGTGTGTTTTTGAAAATTCTGTGGTTAGCTTTGTGAGGTTTCTGGTTTGTTTTAATATATTTTTGGTCTGCATTAGGACGTTTCTGGTTTGTTTTTGTGGTTTGCTTTACGGTGTTTATGGTTTGCGTTATGAGTTTTCTGGTGTGCTTTCAAAATATTTGTGGTTTGGTTTGTGGTGTTTCTTTTTTGTTTTAGGGAATTTGTGGCATGCATTGGGAGGTTTTTGGTAATGATCGTAGTTAGATGAATTTCAAAGGTTGTAGTATCAAGTAAGTAGTGGAGCTAATGGGTGCGATTTTTTTATTAGTCATTAAGCAAAAAACTGTTTATCAATAATTGAACCGATAACTCTTATAATTGAAATACATGTTATCAATTCGGTTAGTGGTTTAACCAAAAACCAACTAGGGGGCTGAAATGTAAATAATAAATTGGAATTTATGAAATTGTGCGAGGTAAAAAAAAACATTTACGATCGATGGGAGTATGTGAATCAGTGAGTTTGGACAAAGAGGTTTGGGGATAACTCCTTAGCACCTTTTCCTTCATTCCCCACTTTCTCCCAACAACAGCAATAAGAGAAGTCAAACAAGAGAGGGTTTGTTGCTGTTAACAGGCCTAATGTTGGATTATATCAGCAACAGTTGACCATCTAGTAGGCCATAGCAGCAACCAATTATCGTTATTGTTGGCTTGTTATGTGGGGAAGAGAATATAAATTGTACAGAAAGGAAAACCCTAGTTTTGGGAAACCATAATAAAAAGCCATTTTCATGGGTTTGGTGCCAACTTTGGCAGCAGCAGACGACACTGCCTGGCAGGATTTCCCCGAACGCCCGGGGATCGACTTGCTGATTAGCGACCAGCTCCGGGGGCCGTGCTTCTCGACGAGGCGCTGGAGCTTGTCGTCTTCCTCGGGGCTCCATGGACCTTTGATTCGATCTATATCTCTTCCTGTAATAGCCATTTTGATTTTGGCGATATTATCACAAAAGCGAGGGAATAGAATGGAGGCTTTGGCCAGCGGTTGAGATTTCCCGATGGCCGGTAGAGAGAGAGAGAGAGTTGGTTGTTTGGAGAG